AAACGTCTTGAAAATGGTCGTTATGAGGTTAGGCTACCCTTAAAACCCGAAATTAAAACAAAATTGGGATCAACAAAATCAATGGCAATTGCACAGTTTCGGAATTTGGAAAGGAAACTTGTAAAAAATGATAATTTCGCGGAAAAATATAAAGCCTTTATTAAAGAGTATGAACAATTGAATCATATGAAACAATCAGACGGTCATACGATGCCCGAGTGTTATCTTCCTCACCACGGTGTCGCGCGTGCCGAGTCAATGACCACAAGCCTTCGGGTCGTTTTTAACGCATCAGCAAAAACTTCGAGTGGATACAGTCTTAATGATTTAATGTATAAAGGGCCTAATTTACAACAAGATTTACAGTGCTTATTATTAAAATGGCGTCAATATAAATATGCTTTCACCGCGGATATTGAGAAAATGTATCGGCAGATTATGGTAAATGAACAAGACCAGCGTTATCAAAAAATTATTTGGAGAGAGTCACCGGAACAACCTTTGCAATCATACCAACTTTGCACAGTTACATATGGCACCAAGTCTGCACCATTTTTAGCAATGATGACGTTAAAACAGCTAGCAGAAGACGAACAAGCCACCTACCCGGAAGCATCATTGGTTTTAAAAGAGGCTTTTTATATGGACGATCTCGTCCATGGAGCTCACAGCATTCAGCAAGGTAGAAAGTTGTTTAAAGACTTAAACAGATTATTACAATTAGGAGGATTCACATTGAGAAAATGGGCGTCGAATAGCAATGAACTGTTTCATACCTTAGAAAAAAGTCAGATCAAAGAAGAAAACATAATTTTTAATTTTAAAACTGAACACGCAACAAAGACGCTCGGACTCTGCTGGTTAAGCAACAGGGACACCTTTACTTTCTGCTGTAACATGTCTATTCAGGAAATTAAGCCCACAAAAAGATGTTTGCTTTCCGAAATTTCAAAATTATACGACCCATTAGGCTGGTTGGCACCTATTTCAACAAAATTAAAAATATTATTTCAAAATGTATGGAAGTTAAATATTTCTTGGGATGAAAAAATACCAGAAAACATACAACAAGAATGGCGGAAAATTCGAAGCGATATGAATGATATTCAAGAATTTGAGATCCCTCGATGGATAGGGTGTAAGGAAAATGAAGTTTTCGAGTTACATGGTTTTAGTGACGCATCCGAACATGCCTTTGCCTGCGTCGTTTACGCAAGGACAAAAAACCAACCTGAAGCAGTACTTTTAGCGGCCAAAACACGACTCGTACCAAATAAAAAAGAGATATCATTGCCTAGGTTAGAGTTAAATGCGGCTCATTTATTATGTAAATTGATAAATAAAATAAAACAATGTATGTGTCAACATAAAATCGAGATATATGGATGGACGGACTCCATGGTCGTTTTAGGTTGGCTTAATAGGGATCCAAGTCGTTGGAAAGCTTTCGTTGCAAACAGAGTTAAGTATATTACTACAATTATAGCTGCAAGCCATTGGAGTTACGTTAAGTCGAAGGAAAACTCCGCGGATGCTGCAAGTAGGGGGCTATACGTATCACAACTTAAAAACAACCAATTATGGTGGCACGGACCCACATGGCTACAAACATTTTCTTACCGACCTAATGAAAAACAAGTTTATCAAACAAAAGAAGAAATTCGATCAAAACAAACAAATTTTATACAGAAGGACATACATAACAGTATTATATATACATTATTAAATAAATTCAGTTCATTTACAAAAATAACTCGTATTGTAGCATGGATATTACGTTTTTTGACACCTAAGCAGAAAGGTAAACAATGGCCTAGCTACCTTACGATACGGGAACTAAAGCATGCAAAATTAGTTATTATTAAACATGTTCAGGAAAACGATTTTCAAGTGGATATAGAATATTTATATAAGTACAACACAGTGCATACGAGTAGCAAATTACGGAGTTTGAATCCGGTATTAAGTGAGGGAATACTTAAGGTTGGAGGAAGATTAAAAAACGCCAACATCCATCACGATATGATGCACCCTATATTAATACCTCATAAAAGTAGATTGACGGATCTTCTAATAGATCATGCACATAACATGACATTTCACGGTGGTCCTCGACTTACTTTAGGTTGGTTACGTCACAAATATTGGATTGTAGGAGGCAACAGAGCCGTTAAATTACGTTTACGAAACTGCGTCAAATGCAGAAAAAACAGTCCCTCTACACAACATCAATTAATGGCTGATTTACCAGAGTCAAGGGTTAATCCAGCACCACCCTTTCAACACACAGGCGTTGATTATACGGGTTTCGTTGAAATAAAGACAAGCAAAGGACGAGGAATAAAAACTACCAAAGGATATATAGCAGTTTTTGTGTGTATGGTTACCAAAGCCATACACTTGGAATTAGTGTCCGATTTGAGCACCTCAGCATTTTTAGCAGCGCTTCGTCGCATGGCAGCGAGAAGAGGAGCTCCACGTCATATCTACAGTGATAATGGCTCAAATTTTGTAGGCGCTAATAGGATCTTGCAGGAAGAATACCAACAACTTCAACACATATTTAACAACAACCTTTTGATGGAGCTTTCAGAGTTGAACATCGAATGGCATTTCAATGCTCCCTCGTGGCCAAGCGCTGGAGGTTTATGGGAGAGAGCTGTGCGCAGTTTAAAACATCACCTGAAGCGTGTGGTTGGTGATCAAAAGCTAACATACGAAGAATACTCGACAGTTTTGAGTCAGATAGAAGTGTGCTTAAACTCAAGACCCTTGTGTCCGCTAACTGAAAACGTAGAAGATTTGGAGTTTTTGACATCTGCACATTTTTTAACAACAAATGTAGGTTCCACCATAATAGAAACGCCCGAAGATGCCAGGACAAGATGGCAGCTAACAAAACAAATATTTCAAGGTGTGTGGAAAAGGTGGAAAGCGGAATACCTTACTCAATTATCTAGTAGGAGTAAGTGGCTAAGACCGCGACCAAACATGAAGATCGGTGATATGGTCATCATTCAAGACGACAACTTACCACCAGGAAAATGGGCGATGGGGCGAGTAGTAGAACTTCACCCAGGTAGCGATGGACATGTAAGAGTGGTAACATTAAAAACAAAAAACGGTAATCTTAAAAGACCAGTCAGTAAACTGTCATTACTACCCATTGAAACATCATCACAACAAAATGAACAGAAAGACAGGTCGAACAACTTTACACAAAAAATAACCCATAAACAAGAAAATAAGCTACAAGGCACCCGCTCCAAATTCAGCTCTATTGTTATGAGTTTAATGTTTTTTATATGTTTATTTACACCAGCATTTAGTACAAGCTCATACAATATTACAACTTTTAATAATAATCAGTCAATTTACTTCGATCCGATAGGTAAAATGCAGATAATCCAGGATAAATGGACACTTATTGTGTATTACAACTTAGAACCTTATTGGGAAGGAATTAAAGCATTTGAAATATTTTTAAAACATTTAAACGAAAGATGTATGAACATAAACGCAGATCACTTATGCCATATGATATTGTTACAACTACAGCACGAGTTCTCGGAACTGCAATACTACAATGAGCTCCTATTGAATCAGCATTTCGTCGGACGCTCCAGACAGCGACGGGGACTTGTGAATGGAATAGGCTACTTGGCAAATAGTTTGTTCGGCGTACTGGACGAACGTTTCGCGGAACAGTATAGTAAGAATATTGAACTTGTTAGACAAAACCAAAACCATTTATTGAATTTATGGAAGAAACAAACGTCTGTATTGGAATCTGAATATAATTTATTAAAACGTACCGAAGATTTGGTAGCCAAACAACATAAAATTATTAACAGACATTTGATAAACTTGGAAAAACAGACCAACAACATTCAAAAGGAAATAAAAAATATGTCAATGGCGCAAGATTTTACTATGTCTTCTTTAATAGCCAGCAATATGCTTCAAAATATAAAAATCACTCAGGAGAATCTTCTTGATACTCTAGCAGACATATACCATGGTCAATTTAACATGCATTTATTAACAGCCGAACAACTTCGAGAAGAACTCCACATAATCTCTGGTCATTTAACAGAAGATATAACATTACCAATAGAAAATATACAACAAGAAGTTCATAAAATTTATAAACTACTTAAGGTCAAAGCTAGAATGATGCAAAAATATCTTATATTCGAGGTAATATTTCCCCTTCTGAATAGAGACAAATACAAATTATACAAAATTATAACAATTCCTCACCAGGTAGAGAATAATATAGAGATAAGCATTTTTCCAATTGCAGAATACACAGCTATTAGTTTACGAAAGGATACTTACTTAAAAATCACAAACAAGGACTTATATTTATGTTTACATGAGGAGGATGTTTATTTGTGTCCTATCCGACAGCCCATTTACCATCTTTCAGAAGACAAGAATTTTTGCCAATTAGATCAAACAACAAGTAGATGCAGGATCTATAAGACATCTTGTACAAATAAATGGCTACCGCTGAATAACCCTTCACAATACCTATTCCACTGCTGCAACACATATGATGTTAAAATTATTTGCTCTGATCGTGTAATTGGGGAACGCCTAACTAAAGCAGGAGTGATATCTCTCGATAAGGGATGTTTGCTAAAAGGTCAAGATTTTACGTTGCTCTCCCACCAAATTTACACCCATCAAATTGAGATGAATAAGGACTTAATTCTTCCAAAAATTGACCCATTGAATAACATCATCAAAATAAGCATACCTTTAGAAACATTTGACGAAAATGACACCAACTTATCAGATTTGAACAGTTCCTTACATAACTTAGACCGTCAAATAAAAGACCTGAAAAAGAATAACGTGCAATTAACAACATTATCGTCGCACGACATCCATCACTATGCAATCAACTACGTGTTAATCGGAGTGGCAGCAGTCTTGGCGGCGGTGTTCGTGTGGAGATGGCGGCGACGGCGGCGGCGTGCACCCATCTCCCCAGACTTGGAGCTGCAGTCGGCGAGTAGTGTTAGTGCAGTGAGTGCGCGAAATCAAAGAAAGGCTTACCGTAAGCCTAGTGTTTTCACAGTGAGTGCTAGTGCGCGAAATTGTGATGTTGACCGTCAACATATGGGCAATATAGGTGATGTGTCGTGTGAAATTGAAAAACAAAACAAAGCGTGTTCTCCCATACCGCAAAGACATTTTAATATCTAATTATAAAAATAATTGTTTAATAATAAGTTAGATACTGTAACCATTTTCATCTTACAAATAACAATCATTCACTAGGTTAAGTTACAAATTGTTTATCACCTTGTTACTTAAATAAGATCATCTCATCAATCACATATCACCTAACTTACATTATAATCATCTCTTCACATTTTGGCCCGGCAGCATGTACGGTCCAACCGTACATTTCTGCTGGCGTTAACATTTTACGCAATGTATAGCGATTGCATTGCGTAGTTGGACAATTATAAAAACTGAGTTAGTTCACGTTTTCACCGTAAACGCGACGGACGCGAACTCATCAACATAACATTTAACATTAACATTTAGCATTATTCAACATATTTTAATCTTATATTTTTTACTTGTTTATTAAACTGTTTTAACATAAAATCTAAATTATTATTGAACAGTCGTCCATTACCCGAACACCGCGAGCCCCAGTCATTCGCCATGACTCCGACAAACTTAGCGGTTGCGTGCACCACCACTGCTGCGACGTTAGTCATTATTCAACACATTTTAAATAAAAAAAAGAGAAACGGAAACCTAGATGGTGGATGAAAAAATTGTATCGTGAAAGATTACAGTGTGAAAATAGGCTAATGGAAGATATAAATTATGAAGAAAGTGGGGACAAAAATTTTGTGAGAATGAGTTTGCAAGATTTTGAAATAATTCTTGAAAAGGTTGAACCTGAAATAAAAAAACTGAAGACTAATTTTCGAGAAGCTATCACAGCCAGAGAAAGGCTATCCGTGACGTTAAGGTTTTTGGCCACCGGGGACTCATATACAAGTTTACAATATCTGTTTCGCATATCTAAACAGTCCATATCTACTACTCGTATTATTATTGAAGTATGTGATGCAATTATCAAGGCTCTCAAGGATCATGTGAAGGTGAGTTAATGAATAAAAACGTTTATGTTTATCTGCTCATTTAATATGTTAATTAAAATTTTAGAAAATTGTAATTTAAGTACTTAAAGAAGTTTTATTAAATTATAATTAAGAATTTCTGAATTATTCTTCTTGTTCTTGAACGTAACGTAATATTTCAGAAATTTCATTTTGATTATCCTCCGCTTCCCTTGGAGATTCCGGTGTTGATGTAGGTGCAGTTTGTGCTGGAATTTGCGTGTCGCTGTAATAGCTTTGGCGTGAGGTAGAGTTGGATAAATCCGTTGAATAGGCACTGGTATAATACCCACACTGACCTGGTAATTGGCCCATATCAGCTTGAAATATAATATTATTTATAGCATGTTTTACTAGTGTAAATGTTCGCGAGTCGTATTTTTTTAATTCATACGCAATGTGGGTCCCAAAAGAAGTGTAACAGTCTTCTTCCTTGGATAAATATTGTACACTGTGCTTGAGTAATCCCACTGCTTCTGTTAATGTGGCAGTGTCATCGTTATTACGGCGCCTTTTAGTTCTGAATGATGTGTTGTGCTGTTGTTATGTGGATGAGGCAGAATTCCTTGGTGTTTGTTGTATGGACGATGAAGAATTACTGGGCGCTTGTTGTGTGGATGATGATGCATTACTGGCTTCTTGTTGTGTGGATGAAGTCAAATCACTAGGTACTTGTTGTGTGGATGAGGCAAAATTCCTTGGTGTTTGTTGTATGGACGATGAAGAATTACTGGGTGCTTGTTGTGTGGATGATGATGCATTACTGGGTGCTTGTTGTGTAGATGAAGTCAACATTGGTAGAGCCACGCGACAGCTTTTGCTGTCGCACGGATGGGCCGGCTCGAACCGGGGTGGTACCACGACCTCACAGAAAACCAGCGTGAAGTAGAGGTTTACCTCTGCGTTTCGCTTGGCGAGTGCAGGTGGCCGGAGGCCCTTTTTACTGGAAATGAGGCATTCCATCTTAGTCCTCACGGGTGACAACGCATCTACATTTTGATTTGTAATAGAGGATAGATGTAGATGTCTATGGGCCGCAGCAACCACTTACCATCAGGTGGACTGTGTGCTCGTTTGTCACCCTTATCCTATAAAAAAAAAAAATCACTAGGTACTTGTTGTGTGGTTGAGGCAGAATCACTGGCTAATTGTTCATCATTTGATATAGATTCATTCACATTCTGTGTGTTGTTGCTGGTAGTTATCTGAAAAATAAAATAAGAAAAACGTTAACTTAGATAGAAATAATTTGTTACAGCTACCCGAGACTGAAAATCAATGGATGGCCGTTGCAAAAGAATTTGAAGAAAAGTGGAACTTCCCACATGCAATAGGCGCAATGGACGGCAAACATGTTTGCCTTCAAGCACCATTAAATAGTGGAACGGAATTTTACAATTATAAACAATATTCTAGCATTGTATTGTTAGCATTAGTTGACGCTGACTACAATTTTATGTACGTAAATATTGGATGTCAAGGACGCATATCAGATGGAGGTGTTTTTAAAAACACTTCCTTGTACAGGAACCTTGAAAACAAAAGCCTAAATTTACCGAATCCTGAAATATTACTAACTCCTTACAATGTGAAGGTACCGTATATAATTCTGTGTGATAAAGCATTTGCCCTCAGTGAATATACCATGAAACCCTTTTCGGGTAATCCAGAAAGAGGATCTATTGAAAGAATATTCAATTATCGTCTATCAAGAGCAAGGAGGGTAGTTGAGAATGCATTTGGAATACTGAGTTCGGTGTTTCGAGTACTACGAAAACCAATGCTTTTGGAACCGAAAAAAGCTACAAAAATTGTATTGGCAACTGTTTGTTTACACAATTTTTTACGAAAAAGCAGACTATCAAATATTTACGCACAGACCAATGCATTTGATTCTGAACAGCGAGGAGAGCTTGTTCCAGGTGCATGGCGACAAGACCAACAGCAGTTAACTTCTTTTTTTCCTTTAGACAGTGTACCTAGGAGATCGCCCAATACTCCTACTCATATACGTTTACATCTGGCGGAACACTTTGTTAATAATGTCCCCCTTGAGTGGCAAAATAATCACTAAGTTTTAATGTAACGTATATATTAAATAGAACGTGTACTACCTACACGGATTAACGTAGACTACAATATGTATAATAAAATTGAAAAAGCCTCATAAAGCAGCTGGTCCATTTTCTCAGACACCAGTATAAATATAATAACGTTAATAACTAATCGTAATTACTTACAGTAGTCTCCGTTGTTGGCAGAGGTTTGTCCTTATCATTAAGAAAGGTAAAATATTCAGATGCAAACCACTTCGATATATATACATCATTAGCTCCTGTAAAAAAAGATATAAAAGTATATAGGCTATTATAAATATGTCAATTTACAATGCGACAATACAATGCGTAAATAAACAATTTAAAAACTTACCTGATCCTGTCACTAAACTTTTTTTGATTTTGCTCCTTTCTTTTCTATTAGTTGCTAATAAAGTTGTCACCTTTTTTTTTAACTCACCTATTGGAATTTTCAGTTCATTTGAAATTGCCTTCCATGCATCTTGGCGTAAATCGTTATTTCGATAATCAGTTAGTGTGCTATCCCACAAGACTCGGTGAAATTCATAAAGTTGAATCAATCTGATAATATTTTCATTATTGAAACTCGAAGTACACGCGTGTTTATTCATTTTGCCGTCCAAATATAGCGTAGCCGGCCGCGTGCTTCCTCTTTGACGCGCGACCAAAAACCGACTGACGATGGCTCGCGCTGCGAGTTGGCTCGCGTGGTACGCGTACCCTAAGAGTGAACGCGTAGCTGCAGGTATGGACTAGGCGTTCCGAATACGCGTAAACTGAGTACGCGTACCAGGGTACGCGCAATCCGTACGCACCTTTAGGTGAAAGGGAAATAAAACAGGCAATGGATGGATGACAGGTTCTTCATGATGACTCTCATTAATAATAAAACAGTTGTTGCCGACCCGCCTACCAAGCGTGGGAACTATAGCAAATCCCCCTTTAAGGCAATCTATGCCCAAGAAGGCTTATATTCTTACGCTCACCAGATGTCGCTAGTTGTGACTAAGGTGAACTTATTTCTTACAGAGATTGTCACACATTAAAACTGCATTTAAAAAAAAAATCGGTTACCTTTAACAGAAATAAGCTTACAAGCTTTTTACAGACTTATTGGACTAGGTATGCCAACAAAAAAATCAGTACGTACAATATTCGATTCTTAAGAAAAATAGATATCGATTCTTTAGAGTTTGTAATCATTTGCAGTTTATTAATACCAGAATAAATTACAAACTTTATTCGAACAAAGTCCACTAGGCACCATCTGAAGACGCCGAAGCCGACCTTGCTCTAAGACCGAGACGCAGGTCTCCGGTCGATACTTCTCTCCTATCCGGGATACAAATTATAACATCTTTGTACCTCGGGCTGGAGTGTCAGACACAAGTTTGTTCCGGTACTTGGCGACGTTTTCCCGCGAAATATTAGCACGGCCGGTGTATAAAGCATCACCAGTGCTGTCGTCTGCATAGCAATGAATGTTACTGGTTTGCAACATATCAGTGATATGCAGAAGAAACAGCGTTGGTGATAGCACGCAGCCTTGTGGAATTCCAGTGTTAATGGGCTTGTAAGTGTAATCGGAGCGTGCACCGTCTAATACGACCTTGATGCTCCGATCTGCAAGAAAACTGGTGATCCAATTGTACAATTTCTCGGGAAGCTCATATAAAGGCAGCTTCGAAGGAAGCGCTTTGTGCCAAACCCGATCGAAAGCCTTCGCTTTGTCCAAACTAACGGCCAACGCCTCCCCCTTGGACTCCACTGCCTCCGCCCATCTTAGGTAACCTAGAAGATCACCAGCTGAGTGACCTCGACGGAAACCGTACTGGTGGCCACTAATCAGCTGGTGATCCTCAAGGTACCGCATGAGCTGGCTCTTTATAAAGGTTAAAATATATAAATAAGGAGGGCCAGCTTAAAATTTTGTACTCAATAAAATATGGTCAGCAACTGTCAGTAATTTTAAGACCAAACATAGCCCTGATGCACCATTTTTGGGACTTAAATATAATTTCCTTATTAGTAGAATTTCCCCAGAATATGATGCCAAACCTCGAAATGGAATCAACTATACCATGATAAGCCATGAGAAGCGCATCAATATTTACGACGGATGCAAGTTTATATAGCGCATAAGCAGAATAACTAATTTTCTTGTTTAGTTCTTCTGTGTGCGCTTTCCAGTTCAGACTTTTATCAATAGTTACACCTAGAAATTTTGTTGTATCTTCTTGGTTGATTTCTGTTCCTTGGTAATTAACGTTAATATTTGGTGTTGCTAGGCGTTGACTCAAGTGCATATTTTTTGTTTTTTGGAGATTTATTTTTAAATTATTATTATTGAATCAAATCAAATCATTTATTTGCAATCCAAGTGTACATAGTTGGTCTTAAATTAAAAATGTGCTTACAACTTAGACGCCCTTTTTAGGCACTGCGAATTTGACAAGGGCACTGCTTATATACTATTAACACACATAAAATATAATTAAAAGCTATAAAAAAATATAAAAATATATAATAATGTTATTTTACATTTAAATACTCTTCTACTGAGTAGAAGGGGTTTTGTTTTAAATATTTACCGAGTCTTGATTTAAATTTGGTTAATTCTGATATATTTTTTATTTCCTGTGGTAATTTATTATATATTTTTATTGCCATATAGTAGGGGCTTGCATTTAACATTTTTGTTCGCGACTGTGGTAGGTATAATTTATTTTTGTTACGTATATTTATATTATGTGTATCTTTAATCTTCTTAAAAATATTATTATTTTTGTGGACAAATAGGCATAGATCATAAATGTACATACAGGGTAAGGTAAGAATATTTAGTTGTTTGAAATACGGTCTACAGCTAGTAGTGTTATCTATCTGGGCTAGTATTCTAATGCACTTCTTCTGAGTAATAAAAAGCTGCTGCACATCGACGCTACTTCTCCACAACATAATTCCGTACTTTAGCCACGAATGAGCATAAGCATAGTAAGCTGACAATGCCGTGGCTGTGTCTGGTGTATTTAATTTGAAATATAGCATACGTAAATTTTCAAATTTTAGAGTTTATATAATTAATGTGCGTTTTCCAATTGATATTTGAATCTACTTTCAAACCTAAAAGATTAAAAGTATCAACTTCTTCTAGCTGTATATTATTAAAGTTTATGTTTAAAGTTAATGGGCTGCTTTTATATGTTTTAAATTGCATAATTTTGGTCTTTTTAAAGTTAATTTCTAAGTTGTGATCTTCAAGCCAATTTGTTATAGTTTGTAGAGTGTTGTAGACAATATAGTTATAATTTGTGGTTTTTATCGCAGTTCACTAACACTGACACATCGTCGGCAAGGAGTACACTTCATGTGTTTTCGTTATTTATTATCTTGGGTAAATCGATTATGTATATTAAAAACGATAGGCATCCTAAGACACTACCTTGTGGGATTTAACATGTGAAGTCCCGGATTTGAGACTGTACTACAACGATTTCCCGTTTTTCATCGTTGCTGTGTTCGATTTGAACTATCTGCTTCCTGTTTGTCAAATATGATTGGAACCATTTATAGGCTGTTCCACGAATTCCCGAACCCTTTAATTTATTTAAAAGTATATTAAATTGAACATTATCGTATGCTTTCGTCATATCCAAAAGGAGGCCTATGATGGCTCTTTTATTGTCAATATTTTGCACTGCCGTTTGGATATATTTATATACTGCCAGAGTTGTTGATCTACTTTTTCTAACACCGTTCTGTGATTCGTCTAATATATTGTATTTTCTAAATAATGATAGAGTCGGTTACACATGGCTTTCTCAAATATTTTAGCAAACGTGGGAAGTAGGGCTATGGGTCTTTTTTAAATATTGGTTTTATTAGTGAAATCTTTAGTGCATCCGGAAACTAAGAATTTTCAAAACTTTGGTTTATAAGTGAAGCTAAAGCGATAGCTAATATTTCTACACATTTCTTTACCAGGATTGGTGGTATATCATCAATGCAACAGCTATGTTTATTTTTAATATTTTTAATTATATTCATTATTTCTCTTGGATCAACAGGGGTTAAAAAGAAAGAGTTTGTTGGTGGATTTATTACGAGATGTCTATTTACCATATTATTGGAGTTAGAACATTGGCCTACAGTAGCAAAGTACTCGTTGAACATATTTGTTACGATGTGGGGGGAAGAAATTAATGTATTATTTTCTTTTAAAATTATATTTTGAGGTTTTATACGTGGTAGAGCCATGCTGCAGCTATGTTAGTAGTGTAGTTGTATACGTGGTAGAGCCATGCTGCAGCTATGTTAGTAGTGTAGTTGTAGCACGAATGGGTCGGCTCGACCGGGGAAGGACCACGCTCTCACAGAATACCAGCGTAAAATAGCAGCTTAATGCTGCTGTGTTTCGTATGGTGAGTGTAGAGAACCGGAGACCCTTTTTACTGGAAAAGAGGCATTTCATCTTAGTCCTCAAGGCTGACAATGCATCTGCATTTTGATAAATGTAGATGTCTATGGGCCACAGCAACCACTTACCATCAGGTGGACTGTGTGCTCGTTTGTCACCCTATTTCTATAAAAAAAAAAAAAAAAAAAAAAAAAAGGTAATTTCATTTTATTTTTACCGGTTTTATTATTAATAATTTTCCACATAGTTTTAGTTTTATTGTCAGATTTTTCCATTTGTTTAATGTAATCTATTCTTTTGGATATTTTTATACATTTTTTTAACATTTTACTGAAAGTATTGTAATGTGTTCGTATAACTTCGTTTTTAGTTTCATTTAGCATTATTTTTAATATTCTTTTATGTCTGCACGATTTTTTTAATCCTATCGAAAGCCAACTTTTTTTAGTACTGTAGTTTTTAATTTTAATTTTTTGTAGTGGTATATGATTATTCAGTATTTTTGTTAAACTAGTTAAGAAATGCGAGTATTTTTTTTTAATCCTTTATTACTGTTTATTATATCCTCCCATTTTATTTTATTTAGTGTTTCCTTAAATTTATTTATATTAACATTGGTAAATAGTCTTTTTGTTTAAAGTACGTAATATTTAGTTTTATTAATAAATTACTCGTATCAATTTCTATGTTTATTGCTTTATGATCTGAGATACCATAGTCAATTACTTGAGATTTCTTTACAAGGGATGAATAATTAGTAAATAGTAAGTGAATGCAAGTGGAGGACTCTTTAGCAACTCTAGTTGGTTTCTTTATTAATTGTTTAAGGTTGTGTGAAGCCATGAAATTCAAAAAGTTACGTGTAATTTTTTTTTTAAATATTTATGTTAAAGTGTCCCGCGATTATAATATATTTATTTTTTTCTTTTGTG